TGCGCATGATCAGTCCATGATCGAACTTGCCTCAAGCTTCCTCACAATAGAGGGGCCGGCCACTGACACAGCTCCAACTGCTGATATCATTGTACCGACACTCAGTGCCCAGAACGAAGCAAGGACTCGCTTCGCCAGAAAGAGAGGTGCACCAAGATCAGCTCAGATATGCTGCTTCAAGGTTGAGCTAGTGTGCCTTCTTGCATCTGCTGTAAGACGTTCCTCTGGGCGAGTCCACATTGCCAGGGTGCCATCTGCATACGTGCCCGAAGAACGGTCGACCCCCCTGCAAACCTTGTCCGCCTTGCCCCTAGGCCCTCCAAACATTTCCAAACCCGGAGCCCAACCGTCATCAACCGCAGGCCTACCTGCCCTCGATCCGACATGAAGAAGCTGAGGGAGTGTGAGCCATAGTCAAAGACCTTGTAGAAGTCCCACCGTGTTTCCCATCGTGTGTTTGACTGTGGTGTCTCTATCAGCTCTAAACCCTAAACCCCATTTAAACCCTCAACCCTACACCCTAAACCCTAGACCCTAAACCCTAAACCGTGAACCCTAAACCCTAAACCCTAAACCCTATGTAGTCCTTTCTCCTCATGTTACGGTGTTGAGGAGGATGTCGAGCATTCTTTTCACCGCATCTTTTGCATGCCGAGAGCCGACACTTGGTCTCACAATCTGTTGGTTCCCCCCCTTGAGCACCAGGGATCTTTACATTGAGGGTTCAGGGTTCAGGGTTCAGGGATGTTCACAGTCCAGGGTTTAGGGTTTAGGGTTTAGGGTTTAGGGTTTAGGGTTCAGGATACTCATCCACCGGACGACCTCCAAAGAATTGTAGTTTTGAAACGTCCGTGGCCACCATTGCGTGGGAACTTCCATGCAAAGTTCTTGGCTTGTCGGCTTCTATGGAGCAAGAGGGCGCCGACCAAGTGTGAAAAGGAACTGATTCACTCGATGTCGATGTTACTTTCACTCTCCTTCGCAACCGCAGACAGAGTATCAGCTTACCCTGGGGTTTGGGGGTTTAGGGGTTTAGGGGGGTCAGGGGTTTCGGGGTTTAGGGGTTTAAGGGGGTTAGGGGGGTTAGGGGGGTCAGGGGTTTAGGGGTTTAGGGGCTTGGGTGTTTTTTTCCGAGGGTGGCATGGCGTCAGTTCAGGGGTCGCCATAGAATGCAACATAGCTCCGCGAATTCCATCGCGAGGTGCCTGGTTTTTGAAGGAACACGCCCACGCTCGCTTTCTGACATTTACGAGCCTTGGTCTTATCTTGAAACATGGTTCTCAGTATCTATCTAAGGTTTATCTTTCTACATGTAGTTGGATTGCTGGCATGGACCCCCCAAAATGAGCAATCCAACCCTTACACTCCGCGGAAGCACTCTAGGCCTTTCCCCTCTTGTAGAAGCTCTCCTGTCGGATTCAAAATTTTTTCCTTAAACTAGGGTTTACGATTTACGGCCTACGGTTAAGGTTCAGGGTTGAGGTTCGGGGGCTTAGGTTTTGGGAGTTAGGGCTTCATGAGGGTTCAGTTCGACTCGGATCATCTGAGAGGGATGGTTTTGGGCACTGCCAACTCAACGCAAGGCCCAGCATGCTAGGAAAGCCTGCATGCAGCCGTCGCTTAGGTCGGTCGAATGGGGCTTCGGATAAGTCTGCCTAGCCCATGTGAGGTTCAGGTCATACAAGATTTCAGCTGTTGGATTTCTTCGGAGCTCTAAGCTGTACAGTCCTCGACCCGAAGTCCTACAAACTCTAGGCCCGAACCCCTAAAACCTAAGCTCAGAGTTTTCATGCTCATGGACATCGTGCGTCCTGGACTGATATGGAGAAGTTAGCCTGCTGCTACTGCTGCTACTACCACTACTGCTAGCAAGCGGTCTTGTGGAAATAAGGGTTTGTTGTTTCGGTATTTAGAGTTTAAGGTTTCGGTTGTCAACGCGTTGCGAAATCTGTCTTGGCTCCAAGTCATCTTTGCCAAACAAACTCGAGCCGATTGTCGTTTGTCGCATTCTGCCATGATTTCCATGCAGCGGCTGCTCGCTATGTGCCTCCTGGGTGCGGTTTGCAGCGTGCGCGAGGAGGGCTTAGCCTCAGGTCCTCTGCACACTGCCGTCTTCAACGAGCATGTTGGGGCCATTGCGCCCCTGGTGGCCGAGGGTGAGCCTGTGAATGAACTTCAAGAAGGCGTCACGCCTTTGGGCATGGCCTGTAAGACGGGTAACCCGGGTCTCGTGGAGGCGCTCCTTGAGAACAATGCGGATCCGAACATGAAGACCGGCCCCCACCGGAAGAAGGAGCTGCCCCTGGGGATAGCCGCCTATGCTGACAACTACAACATCGGCGTGGTGCGGGCCTTGCTGAGTGCCAAGGCCAACGCAGGTGCCGTTGACGACTACGGAAAGAGCGCCTTAGCGTATGCTCAAGAGCGCCAGCGGACTGCAATCGCGCAAGAGATCACCAAGGCTCAGTAAGAGCAGCTCGAGCAGCTCTCAGGTTCCAGTTGTGGGCTCTTTGCACACCGCGCCTCGGGGGCAGTGCTCGCACCAAGAAGTGCTGCTCATGTACCTCAATGTTCTGCATCCCACGCTTTGTGGGTCTGAGAACCTTAGTCACTCGCCCGACGTTGGAAGAGGATGGGGGCCCAGCAGGTGTTTCAAAGGTCGGGCTTAGGACTCAGGGATTTGTCGAGGGGTCTGAACAATTTGCGAGAACATCCCTTATCCTGATCGTCCACTTTGCATCTGTGCCATACTTACTCCAAAACACCCTAAGCCCTAAACCCTAAGGCTGAACCCTAAAGCCTAAACCCTAAACCGTGAGCCCTGTAAGAGGGGTCTGAGGCTTGAAGAGCCTCGGGCCATCAGAAGAAAGTTGTCGCTTCAAGCAGGTGTAGGGAGTAGGGCTTAGGGCTTGGGACTTAGTGTGTGGTGTGTAGGGCTCAGGGTTTAGGGTGCAAGGTTTAGGGTGTGGGTTTAAGACTAGTTTCGGTCATGGGGGGAAAATTTCCAGGCTTTGCGGGTGACGAATCCATAGCCTACTCCTCAAATCCTACAAACCCCTCACTTACTGAACCACACAGACTTCACAGACTTGTACTCTGCTCAGATAGGACGACTTGAACATCCAAAATCTAAAAACCGGCTAGAGCATAGACAATGTTCTATGGCGAGAATGTATCTTCCGCAGGAGAGGAATCTCTAATCATGTATCATGTATTAGAGCCCAGCGCTTGCCCCAATAAAATCGAGCACCTCAAGACCCAAAACGATCGAACATCAAGAAGAACATAGTATAATCATAATCAAATCGTGAAGCACATCCCTCCACTTCATGGAACATGAAGAGAGAAGAAACCAACACCCTATATAAGAATAGTAATTCTATTCCTACTGCTACTACTACTACTACTACGACGACGACGACGAATAATAATAAAATCACACTAACAATAATCATAATAAGAATAATGAATAATATTATGAATGAATAATAATAGGAATAATACTACTAAGCATAGTCGTCATAATACGAATACTGATAACAATTGTACTAAGAACATAGAAATAAAAACTTGTCCTGTCACACAAATATTTAGATTTGATCCGTTGATGCATATCTAACTTTAAAGTTTACAGACTCTTTGTTTGTATTCTAGCCATTAGTTCAAACATGACCGAATCAAACTCTACGTCCTGCGCTTCTTCAGCATATACAAAACTGTGATCTCCCTATTCGTTTTCGCTTGATGCTCGCATATATATATATATATATATATATATATTTATATTTTTTTGTATGATGCTACGAAGCATTTTGTAAACTGGGAGCTTGTTTATGATGAGTACTGATATAAGCATACAAGGAAGAGCAGAATTCATGAATGGTTTCTCTTTGTATAAGTTAATTGACATAGTTTTTGTAAGCCACATTTTTCATGAAATATAACTGTGTATGTATATATATATATGTAGTATTGCATGGATATCTAGATAGACAGGTACATCAAAAACATCTATCTATCTATATTTATATATATGTGTATATTGTGTTTATTATGCTTTTGTTACTCTGTGCTTCGTCAAAGCAAAGCCCTTCTAGACTCTTCAACACCAGTAAGCCCCACCGAATCTTCTGAAAAGCCCCCCCCCCCCCCCCCCCCAAAGTCCTCCAAAGTTCCCCCCTCGTGCCTGCGGCGTTCGGCTCCCAGGAACGGATAGTGGAACTGAAATCTTTCCCGGTAGCTAATTCATGTTTTGTGACGCCTCCAAAACCTTGTGGAGATAACCAGGCGCCGGGGAGCAGGGGGCAGATACCCAGAACCCCAAACCCTGACCCTGAACTGCAGCAGGTTGCCTTACCCAGCATTCGGAGGGCTGGAGGGGTGGCTCTCAGATTGGGGGGTCTCGTTTTTTTGTTTTGGGAGAGGTGGGGTGGTGGGGGCGGGGGGGAGGCCTTTTATTGGTTTTGCTTTTGTGGCCTTTTCCGCTAGCTCTTGGGGGGGTAAGGATGCAGGGGATGCGTAGACGAATCTGGCGATCAACCGCATGTTGGTCCGCAGCGGTGGTTTACTTGTCACCTCGCTTTTGGGTTTGTAGAGCTTCGAGGTTGAGTGCCCCCCGAAATGGTGGGAGGTTACGAAAGTGAGGGACCCCTTACCGAGACTCCCCAAATGGTAGGACTCCCTGAGAGTAAGAGGACCCCAAGAAGGTACCCCGAATTTCGGAAACCCCCCCCAGGTAGAATCCTGTATCCTAGGCCCGAAGCCCTGAAGCTTGGCCACCGGGATGATTCGAACCTCAAGGGCTTGTTCGGTTTAGGGTTGAGTTTGGGTTGTTCCCCCCTTGCACCAACAGTCCTTACTAGGGCTTATAGTACCCCCTACTACAATTCCTTTTAAGGACTGTTAGTATACGGGGGAACATCCCAAGGTGCTGGTCGAGATTGAGGGGACTCCCGAGCCTGCTTGTTTGGGCCAGGCGTTGTCATTCTTGGTGCGACGGAATGCCCGACCAACGAAGCATCATGGATGCTGCGAGGGTGCCTCCCCCTGAGGGAGGGTTTGGGGTTTAGGGTTTAGGGTTTAGGGTTTAGGGTTTAGGGTTTAGGGTTCAGATGGCCCTTCTTTTGGCTTCGTGGGTTCCTATAGACGGGATCATACCATGACTGAGGGGGCGCGCCCCTGAAGCCTACCCCCGAAGTCCAAGACCCTCATCCCACTTGCTCCGTCGTTGCAGGTACTTCCAGCCGGGGCACCCAGAAAGCTCAGAGCCCACAAGGAGCCTGTGCGCCCAGAACCTGTGCACCCCAGGTGAGACATTGTAGCCTTATAGCCTTATAGCCCTGTAGATCCTAAATCCTAAATCCTCAATCCTAAGCCCTAAACATGCAGCCCTAAACCCTCGACACTACACCTTATGCTTCCGACGTTGCTGAAGCATGGCAACCTTCAAAGGGGCTGCTCTGCCTGTCTGAAGAAGATTTTCTTCACGGCATCTCTTCTATTGCCCCCCCGCTCCCCCACAGCGCATCTGTCACATGAGTGCTATCGTTCATGCTGAGCCCTGGCAGCTCCATTTCTGCTGGTGCCACTGTGTCTGCCTAGTTCCTGCGAGCGCATTCCGGCGCAAGGTCGTCTTTGTGGTGGTGAACATCGTCAGCCTGTACTTGATCTACAGCTACTTCCACCTGGTTCCGATGCTGCAGAGCCAGAGCACGGACGAGAAAAGGCTTCCTCGACTCCTCGACCCTGCGCCCTGAACCCTAATCTCCACAACCCCAAGTCCCACAAACTCCAAGTTCCCCTGGTTCTTAGTAGGGAATGAGGGAATGAGAGCCCTATTTATACCCTTTAAGGGATTATATAGGATCCCTATTTCTTCATTCCCTGCTAAGAACCAGCCAGAGTTTCCAGTCCTGCTGGCAACCCCCGAGATTGCTGCCATCCCCCCGGCCCCTTTCTTTCACATAATGGCCCGAACACCGGCTTGGGGTTCAGGAAAAGACTCCAACCCCCAAAACCCTAAACCCGAAACCCCAAACCCTGAACCCAAAACTCCAACCCTAAACCCTAAACCCTGGACCCTGAACCCTTTGTGAGCTTCCACCTCAAGTTCTGAGCCCTAAACGTCCCCTCCATCCGGGGGGCCCCGAGCGGCGCCAGATATCACACTGGTCTCATCCAGACGGCTGTGTTCAACGGTGCCGGGGGCCCCGGGATTGTTGATGCATGTCCTCTAGGTTTAGTAATAATGGTACAAGAACATACACTAATATGAATAACAATAATGTAAACATGATGTTTGTAGTAAAATAGTAGGAATATAGCAAAATAGCAATGATGGCATTTTATGACATCTTTCCAAGTCCTTGTGGGCCACGGGTCTTCGTGCGCTTCACTAGCGGGCAGGGGTTGTTAAGGGGCCCAGGTGGGGTTTAGGCGATTGAGGATGTAGAGGTTCAGGGTTTCAGTGTCTGGGGTTCCAGGGTCCCAGCCGGGTACCCAAGTACTTCTTCGGGAGGCTCCAAGGTGGATGGTAGGTTTAGGAGTGGTCTTGCGAAGGTATAGAGGCCAGCGTCGGCCACCAATTTCTAGACCCTAGCCCCTAAACCCTAAACCGAGATCTCCTTCATGCTCATGATCTGCTACCTGCGGGCCGCCAGCACCCCAGAGGATGGAGTCCGGAACCTGCGATTTTAGGGTTTAGGGTTTGGGTTTAGGGTTTGGCGTGTACAGAGCCGGGCAGGGCGATTCCTTGAAGCAAAGGGTGTAGCAGGCTTCAAGAGCCCAAGACCGTTTATGAGAGGGTTTAGGGTTCAGGGTTTAGGGTTTAAGGTTTTTTGTGTGGATCAGGTTTCCCCACAGCGCGGAAGATTTGGTTTAGCTCTGACCGTATGCTGGGTCAACCGGATGCTTGGTCAAGGTCGCCACGAATCCAGGAAACATTCCTTCGAAGGAGGCGGGGCTCCCGGGGGGCTGGAAAGACCTCATGTGACAGTAGGATGTGCAGGGGTAGTCTCTCTGTGGCCGTCACGAATGCACTGAGCCACACGTTCGTCCTCTGCCGGGATCGGGCCTTGTTTTGATTTTTTTCGGTTGCAGTCGTGTTTCATCAGCAATCCGCAGCAATTTCAGCAGCAGAAGGGCGTCGAAAAGAGGCAGATTGATTCGTACTTCAGGTGGTTGGAGTTTAGCTCAAGGTCTGTTGAAGGAGGGGTGTGGGGCGACGTGTGGCTCCAAAAGCCTGAGGCCCAAAGCCCTCGCCCCTTCATCAGGAAGATGATCGCTGGGAGTACGTACCGGATCGGCGTATACAGCAGCCGGACACGAAGGATTCGCCAGGGAGCAAAGACCCTCCTGAGAGCATGGGAACTCCAGTGTAAGAGCGTGAATGTTGGCTTTCCTGTAGAACCTTGTAGACCAATCGGCCTGTAATGTTCGGGCAGACGACGCACAAGAACGCCCCTCGTAACCGCAGAGCGACTTTCGCGTTAACAAACAGATCATTTGGGGGTTCTTCTCAGGGGTTTAAACTATAAGCCTTGAGCCCTCAACCCCTCAACCCCTGAATCCCTGAACCCCTCAACCCCTCAACCCCCTCAAACCTCCGCTCTGAACCATCGAAGGGCTTTGCAACTCCTCCATGTCGGAGGAGAAGAAGAAAACAGGAGAGCGCCGACACTGCAAGTGGTGCGCGAAGTGACCCACCTGCCGCATGAGCAGAGCCGTGGATCGATCACCACAAACACGGACCCCTCCCTGAAGCCTAAACCCTAAACCCTAAACCCTAAACCCTAAACCCTGAACCCTGGACCCAAAACCTAAACTAAACCCTACACCCCTAAACCCTGGCCCTAAACCCTAACCCCCAAACTCTAAACCTTAAAAAGCCCTACGTCCTAAGTTGCGGAAATCAATGGCCAGGTACAAGCCCGACAGATGTCACCATTGCCGTGTGTGCTGCGCGCCCAGCTTTCCACACTCTGCCCTTTCTTTCGCTGTAGGGCTCAGAGGGTTTAGGGTTTAGGGTTTAGGGTTTAGGGCTTAGGCTGTTTTTTGGGGCTTGATGTTTATGGTCCTTGAGGTGCCTGGTTGCCTCCGGGACCGGCTTACTGGCTCCCCTGAAGAGTGAGATGCAGCCCAAATATTTAGTTCCTCTGGCCTTATGAAGTATTTAGGTCTTATAGGTTTCAGGGTTCGGAAGATGGACCGAACCCCAGCTAGTTTGAACCCCCCGAGGCCCCCGAAAGTCCGAATGTGAGGCAAGACGTGCATCCTCAAGATGGATCACCACTGCCCCTGGATCTACAACTGCGTAGGCTTCAGGCGCGCCCCCCCTTTCAAAACTCCCCAAGCTCCTGCTTCGGTAAAGTTGGGCTTGCTATTGGGGGTTCAGGGCTTTGAGGTTTAGGGTTTAGGGTTTAGGGTTTAGGGTTTAGGGTTTCGGGTTGAGGGTTTAGGGTACTTGTGATTCCTGGGGCGTTGAGGCAAGGTGGGGCTTCATGGGATTGGCTTTTGAGGCGAGTTGTGGGGTTCGGGAGGGTGTTTGGGAAACCCTAAACCCTAAGCCCTAAGCCCTAAGCCCTAAACCCTAAACCCCAAACCCTAAACCCTAAACCCTCAACAAGGGGGTTGCCCCCCTCCCCCCCTCTTCCCCCTCTTTGCAGGAATCACAAGTACTTCTTCCTGCTGCTTCTCTACTCCGCGGCCGCCTGCAACTTCATCACTATCACCATGATCCCGCCCGGGCCTCGCTCTCCAGAGCTTCCGTTAAAACCTGTCAGAAACAAGGGTTTAGGGTTTGGGGTTTTTTCGGTTGGGGCTTTAGGGTTTAGGGTTTAGGGTTTGGGGTTTAGGGTTTGGGATTTAGGGTTTAGAGTTCAGGAAAAAACCGGAGTGTCTCCTAAAGTCCCCAAACCCTAAGTAAGCCCTTCCCCTTCAGGGGCTCCAAGTGCTTCCTGGTTTTGTTGGCCTAGGGTTGCATTTGCTTGGCTTAGGGCTCAGAAGCCTTGTAAGTAGCATTGCAAGTAGGGTAACTAGAGCTATAATCTTATGCGGGGTACTTGCAACCCGAGTTGTAAGTATTGAGCGAAGCAAGTGCTTCAGGTTCCGTGCTCTGTTTTGCGGCGCTTGGGGGCTGGGGGGGCGGGCTATGGCTCAAGCATCGCGGGGGCTCACTCAAGCATCGCGAGGGTTTACTTTGGGGGCTTCAGGGCTTCCGGGCTTCGGGTTTCGGGTTTGGGGCGAAGCTGTCAAGGACTTCGGAGTTTGGCTTTTGGGGGTCTTGGAGAGCGTCCATAGCCATGCGGCTTTGTGGGGAATAGGGGGTCCTAAACCCTGAGCCCCCGAAAACCTCGCGCTCCTCCGAGGACGGTGCAGGCCGCTGTCGAGCAGAACTCTGCGTTTGCGCAGATGCGCTGGTCTCAGTTGCCCTAAGAGCGTGTAGGTCGTCCCCCCTCTTCACCGCATCGCACATTGCTCTAGATTCCTGCCCAGCCCGCAAAACTTAGCAGTAGCATATTGCCCCAACCCTGAACCTTAAACCCTAATTCCTAAACCCTAAACCCTAAAACCTAAACCCTAAACCCTAAACCCTAAACCCTAAACCCTAAACCCTAAACCTTACATCCTTAGAGCCCTTGTTAATCACCTCAGACCACGAGGTTCCTCGTGCTTTTTGCCGAGACGCTGTCAGCTTTCCTGGGGATTCTGATCCTTGGCATGCACTGTGCCCCCTAACCCTTACTTGGAGGTTCACGGGAATTGAGAAGTAGAGTGGCAAAACTTATAGGCACTTGTAGCTTCACCTAGAAGTACCTCTGAACCTCCAAGTAGCCAAACCCTTCAAGCGGGCTTTTGAGCAAGTTTCCAAAATGCATTGGTTTCGCTAAACTCCTTCTTAGCTGGAGGGTTCAACGTGTGCTCTGCACACTCGAAACCCCAAGCCCTAACCTAAACCCTAAACCCTAAACACCCTTGAAGAGGTCTGTAAGGCACACGCCGTGCACCCTCGCACCTCATCCCCTGAGCCGCAACTCGCTTTGCGCCCAGGATCACCCTCTTCTTCCTCTTTCACATCTGGCTCATGCTGCAGGCTTTGAAGCACTAAGCCCCCGGGATTCTGAATGCTGAAATCCTTGGAGGCGAAAAAACGGCCTTCAACCCTCAACCCTCAACCCCAAACACCCCAAACCCCAAACCCTCAACCCCAAACCACAAACCCCTAAACTCCAAACCCTGAAACCCTGCAATCGCCAAACTCCCGATTGTTCTGATAACTCCCGGTGAAGGCCATGACCACCATCGAGTTCTGCGAGAAGAGCAGCAAGAACCAGAGAGCCACACTGAGCCTCCCCAATGGGGTTGGGAGGGAGTTTAGGGTTTAGGGTGGGTTTAGAGTTTAGGGGGTTTAGGGTTTACGGTTTAGGGGGTTTAGGGTTTGGGGTTAAGGGTTAAGGGTTTCGGGTTTAGGGTTCAAGTCTTGGGGGTTTAGGGCTGTAGGATTTGGCGTTGATCGGGGTGGGGGGGGCCCTTTGGGCGCATGCGTGCTGAGGGTGCCTGTATGTCTATCCCGACATGGATCCTGCTAGGGCCTGCCCATTGCGCAAGGACCTCCACGAGCCCCGGCTTTGGTACAGGGCGTGCCCCCTGCAAACCCCCTTAACCCTAAGCCCGAAATCCTAAACCCTAAGCCCTAAACCCTAAGCCCTAAACCCTCACCCTAAACCCGAAACCCTGATCCCTGATCCCCAAACCCTGAACCCCAACCCTGAACCCGAAGCCTGTCCCCGATGGGGAAGCAACCTCACGCCGAGGATGTCGCCTCTCAGGAGTGTTGGGCTTCTAGAAAGCCCCTGACCCTAACACCCCAAACCTGAACCCACAGCCTTTGAACACAAAAAAACCCCAAAACCTTAAACCTAAAGCCTCAAACCCTTAAACACTAAAACACCCTAAACCCAACAAAACCTGAAACCTCAAACACGAAACTGCCTGGCAGTTTACTGAGGCTTCGGGGGCTCCGTGCACGACCGTGGCATCAACGGCAATGCCTTCCTGACACGTTGAACTCAGAGGTTTAAGGTTTAAGGCTCGAGGTTCCCAAATTCCTAAACTTTAAGCCCTAGAAACCCTAAATTATGAAGCCTAGACCTAGGGTTTAGGGCTTCGGGTTGAGGGTGTAGTGGCTATGGGTCAGGGTTTGGGGCAGTGTAGCTCATGCCTTTGAGGTTAGGGTTTCAGGGCTTCGGGTTTCGGGGGAACTTCAAGCAGAGCAGCATGCGCAGGCCCTAAACCCTAAACCCCAAACCCCAAACCCTAAACCCTAAACCCCAAACCCCAAACCCCAAACCCTAAACCCTGAACGCGCAGATTCGTGCCGTGCTCGGCGACTGGATGATCCTGTGGCTGCTGCCCTGCGCTCGGCTTGTTTAGGGTTTTAGGGTTTTAGGGTTTTAGGGTTTAGGGTTTAGGGTGTTAGGTTGTTAGGTTGTTAGGTTGTTAGGTTGTTAGGTTGTTAGGTTGTTAGGGTGTTAGGGTGTTAGGGTTTAGGGCTTAGGGTCTAGGGCTTAGGCGGTTTAGGGTTTAGGAGCATTCAACGCCCCCCCCCACACACCCCAAACCCTCCTGCATCCACGCAGTCAGATTTCGCACTCGCTCAGCAGGGCCGATGCACAAAATTCCGAGCCTGCACCTCAAAGAGAGTACCGAGGCCAGTGTCACCCCCTACTGGCAGTGGCACCGACTTTGCCATGGTTTGGGGCCCAAGTGCGGTGTTGCGGGGGGGATAGTTGGAGCCCAAGCAACCTGGAAGCTCTTCTTAAGGTGCTCACATGATGTTGCCTTACGATTGTTATACCGGTAAGTCATACAGTATCCTTCTTCTGGTACTCAAAGATGGGCTGTATATTAAGTAGTACAGCATCCTTACCATGATGAGCTAACTAAACTTCCTTAGCAAGAGCCTTGCCAAAGCTTGCTGTCCCCCCCCCCCCCGCCATGCCTCTGCACATGGGCAGTCCTCTAGGTTAGGGCCCCATTTAGTCCTGATGTATAGTACGGCACCCTTACAATACGGACCCCAAACCCCAGACCCAAACCCTACACTCCAAACCCTAAACCCTAAACCCGAATTTACAGAACTACCCCACATCCGCAAGGAGCACGATGCGGACCCCTTCATCACCAAGACCCTCGAGCAAGAAAGGGGCTTGCGCAAGAAGCTGCGGCAGGCCTTCAAACCATGGGGATTAGGGTTTAGTGAGGTTTAGGGACCCTAAACCCTAAACCCTAAACCCTAAACCCTAAACCCTAAACCCTAAACCCTAAACCCTAAACCCTAAACCCTAAACCCTAAACCCTAAACCCTAAACCCCAAACCCTTTTGTGCGGGCACTCCCGGGAACTCCTTGGGTCCTCGAGGGCTCCTTTCTGGGCTCCTGAAACCTCGGGCTGCTTGAGGTGTATTGATTTGTGCTTTAGACCCTAAAGGGTTTAGGGTTTAGGGTTTAGGGTTTAGGGTTTAGGGTTTAGGGTTTAGGGTTTAGGGTTTAGGGTTTAGGGGTAACCAAGGGCTGAGAGTTGGGATGTTCCCGCCTTGTACTAACAGTCCTTAAATGGTATTCTAATAGGAGGTACTACAATCCCTATTCAGGACTGTTAGTGCAGGGGGGGAACGTCCTAATGTATCCTTGTACCCCTATGTAGGGTACTTATACCCCTACCGAGCAGTACGTATGAACCTCCAAGTCCGGGTTTCCGACTTGCATTTGGGCGCGCTTTCAAGGGGGGGCCTTCTGGTCTACTTACTTGGGGTTTTGGGGGGGGGAGACACCGGAAACTCTCAGAATCCCGGAAGATCCATTGTTGCGGCTCTTGTGGATGTAGGGACTACCGGTCCGACCCTTTGCTTTCTCTTGTCGAGGGGGATGTTTGCCCCTTTCAAGGGTCCAGGTGAAGCTTGGCATAGGGTTGCTAGTAGGGTTTCGGGCTTTAGGGCTTTTGGGCTCTGGGCGTCGGGTGTTCAGAGGTTGTGTGATTGTGGCCCAGGGGTCGAGAATCCAAAAGGGATGCACCACTTCTTTGGGGTGTAAGACGTCCCTCATTGGCCCCCTAAAGGCGCCTTACCCTCAACCCTTAACCCAACACTTTTCCCCTCTTTAGCTTCTGGTTTGAGATCCCTGTGGCCCCAGCCCCTCCATGCTCGAGACTGTAGACACCACAAAGAGCAAAGCAGCACCCCACCCGAAAGCACCCAAGTTCCAGGCATATGGTGCAACAGGGAGTGGCAAGAGGTGCGTTAGAATCTGCCAGGGCTTTGTGCTTGTGTCGTTTGATAGTTGGCGCGAAGGAAGCCCTTAAATCTCAAGCCTCCGTTTTTGAACCAGAAACCCTAAGCCCTACACCCTAACGCGTCCCTAAACCATGCACCCTGAAGTGTAAAGGTTAGTGACTAGAGTTTAGGGTTTAGGGTTTAGGGCAAGCCACACCTTTTCTCCCCAACTTGGCCTTTGTGCTTGGAGCCCGCTGCGCAGAGGGGGGCGACTGTTGGGCCTTGGGTCGCTGGTGCCTTTATTCAGGGAACCCTCGGCCCTCAGGTCTTTTCAGGACCCTCGGCCCTAGGGTTTAGGGTTTAGGGTTTAAAGTTTAGAGTTTAGAGTTTAGGGATTAGGAATTAGGAATTAGGGGTTCATGGGAGTCGAAACGGCTCTTCGCGTGCCGCTTTCTGCTCAATGTCGGAGAGGCCTGGGCAGCTAGACGCCCCAGGTCGACTCCTAATCTTAGGGGTATTGGGCTCCGCTGGAAACATGGGCTGCGGAGGCAGTTGTGCTCAGATTGAGGCATTGCGTGGCAAAGGAAAGTCTCGCAAGGTTGGCCCGGAAGCTCGTACGGACCCGGTGGATTGTTCATTTTCCTTTGTGGGTTTCCTCAAACCTAAAAAGCTGACACGCGCGCTTGCTTGCTTCAAAGTCGTCGTTCTTCAACATGGCAGAAGTTGTGTAAGCTACGCATCTTGGAAGTTCTCGGCCATGGATGTAAAGGGACTTAGTATGGCCAGCCAAGGAAGGCGTGCTACCAGTTCCCGACCGAGCCATCCATCGACTCTATGTCGCCAGGCTGGACCGATACCTTGGGAAGGTGAGCCAAAGGCCCGACGCTTTCATTCTGAAAGTCGAGCTGCGCCGGTCAGAGGCTTCTTTGAGGCCAAGCAGCGGGAATCTTTTCGCGTCCAGCGTCGATGACTTCCCAGGGGAAGCCCGGGAAGATGCCACGCGGCACGGACAGTCTCCGCAGAATCTGTCAGTCGGAGTGGGGAAGTAGCCAGGTGCTACATCCCAGAAAGAAGAGGACGGGTCACTGAGTCACTTGTCCAGCCTTTATAGAAGATGTTTAAAGGTGTCAATCGCAGCAAGTTGCCATGAGCTGCCGCGTAGGGCTAATGTGCTAGAGGCCTGCAACATCTGGTACTTGGAGGTGCATGGCTACTTCAAAGTAGGGTTAGAAGCGCCCTAAATAGGGTTATGAGTATAGTTACCATACTTATTTCCCTACTTTGTGCTACAAGGTCAAGAGGTGGAGGGTGGCTCTGCACATGGCTCATGACACACCCCCCCCCCCCCCGACGAATAATGCGACGATTTTCCCAAACCCCAAACACACTCAGCCTTGAAACCTAAGTGCTAGATGGGCACGAACCCGAAATGAAAACCTTGAAGCCGAAGCCACAAATTCAACCGGGGGGGGGGGGGTTCCCTAGTCGCTGTACCTTCGACGACTTTGGGTCGGAGAGTTTCTCAAGGCGCGCCGACCTTGGGCTTGTTGTGCTAGGACTGTTGGGTCCTGAGCCCCCCTACACCCCCTGAGGCGTTGAGGCTTGCCTCCAACCATTTGTCAACTTTCTGCCGATGCTGTGATCACCCGAAAATCGGCCAAATGATCTGAGAATTCCTTGACCCGAGCCCGAAGCTACTCTTCTGCAGGATTTTTAGAGGAGCTTTGGCTCTGGGGCTGATTTCAACCTGGCTGACCTTGCGCGATCTGAAACAAGTGTTTGTTGGCTGAATTGGGGGGTTTCAAGGGTTTAGCACATTATGAGTACTTCAGGTCAGGCCATCTCAGCCGGAGGGCCCTGTTGCTGGTCAGCATAATGCGGAGGGCGAGCGCTGGAAAGACCTGGTTGCTGGCACGCTCGAAAGCCCCGGAGCAAACGCCTTTATGCCCCCCAAAGATCCTAAGCCTTTCAGCCCCCAACCCGAAAAGCAGAAGCCCTCAAAACTCCAGGATGCTTAAGACGTGCACTTCCTAGGTTCGGTGTGGGCTAGGGTGCAGAGTTATTGATTCAGCCTTGAAGGGCTCATGGTTTGAGTAGGACATGCCCCGCCACCATGGCGCCCATGGCGGGTGCACCAGGATCGACCGATACCCAAGTACGGACAGAGGAGTTCGGCAGAACTGGCAGTCTTGAGGGCGCCAGCAAGGGTACGGACAGTCTCCGCAAAATCTGGCAGTTGAAGTGGAGAAATAGCCAGGTGCTGCATGTCGTTCTTTCAATATGAGATTTTTAAAGGTGTCAGTCCCAGCAAGTTGCCGGGAGCGGCCGCCTAGGGCTAGTGTGCTAGAGGCCTGTGACTTCTGTTCGGGCTATAGGGCTTAGGGTCTAGGGTTGAGTAGGAACTGGTGAAGGGCGGCGGTTCATGGCTCATGGGCTCCCCCGGATGCTCACACATGAGCGAAGCCTAAGCCACAAAACCCCAAGCCAGAAATTCAACCGGGGGGGTTCCCTGGTCGCTGTGCTTGGGTCGGAGAGTTTTCAAGGCGCCCCGACCTTGGGCTTGTTGGGGGTGCTAGGACTGTTGGGCCCTGAGCCCCCCTACACCCCCTGAGGCGTTGAGGCTTGCCTCCAACCATTTGTCAACTTTCTGCCGATGCTGTGATCACCCGAAAATCGGCCAAATGATCTGAGAATTCCTTGACCCGAGCCCGAAGCTACTCTTCTGCAGGATTTTTAGAGGAGCTTTGGCTCTGGGGCTGATTTCAACCTGGCTGACCTTGCGCGATCTGAAACAAGTGTTTGTTGGCTGAATTGGGGGGTTTCAAGGGTTTAGCACATTATGAGTACTTCAGGTCAGGCCATCTCAGCCGGAGGGCCCTGTTGCTGGTCAGCATAATGCGGAGGGCGAGCGCTGGAAAGACCTGGTTGCTGGCATGGGCTCGCCCCTTGAACTTCGAAGATCCCAGAAGCCTTAAAAAGCTTCCAAGACCCAAACCCTAAGCCCTAAACCCTAAACCCTAAACCCTAAGCCCTAAACCCTAAGCCCTAAGCCCTGAGCCCTGAGCCCTAAGCCCTAAGCCCTAAGCCCTAAGCCCTAAGCCCTAAGCCCTAAGCCCTAAGCCCTAAGCCCTAAGCCCTAAGCCCTAAGCCCTAAGCCCTAAGCCCTAAGCCCTAAGCCCTAAGCCCTAAGCCCTAAGCCCTAAGCCCTAAGCCCTAAGCCCTAAGCCCTAAGCCCTAAACCCTAAACCCTAAACCCTAAACCCTAAACCCTAAACCCTAAACCGCAACCTGAACCCCCCCCCAGAGCCGTCAACCCCAGACGCTCTTCCTCTTGGGAGTCTCGATGGTTGTTTGCACTTGTAGATCAGAGAACACTCCGAAGGACCCCTAATTTGACCAAGGGCTGAACCCTAAACCCTAAACCCTAAACCCTAAACCCTAAACCCTAAACCCTAAACCCTAAACCCCAAACCCCAAACCCCAAACCCTAAACCCTACAAACCCTAAACCCTAAACCCTAAACCCCTGCCCGAAGCCCCCCCCACACACTGCCTCCAGCGTCTGAGGCTCGATGCGTCAAAGGGCTGCGCTTTCCAAACACGGCGCAGGGTCGAAACGTTTTGGGTTAGAGGTATCAGGGTTGTACTGGTTTATATAGAGTTTAAAAGGTTTTACGTTTGAATTCTGTAGGGATCTGTAGGGGTGTTAGGGGCTTTCGGGGTCTGTAGATCGGGCACTTTGACCCTTCCAACTGGCTGCCGCGCCATGCCGGTCATGGTGAGTGCGCGCAGCCTTTGGCTTCTAGCACTTGGCGCTGGGGCAGCGTGCCGCTGGGCCGGTGGACGGGTGCTTTCTTCCTCGGCCTAAGGGCCTTAACCCTAGATTCTGCTTTGTAGGTATTTCGTTAGCAAGGCCTTGGCACTTTCTTGTTTTCATCATGCTGGTTCGGATCTGCTTCGATTCTTGGCGTTGTCGGGCTTCATGTTTCCGATGGTTTGGCTCTTGTGGCATGGGAGAAGCAGATAAGGTCGGAGGCACAGGGTTTAAGGGGACTTCGGATTGGGTTGTTGTTTGAGTCTTTGGATCTCGCTTGCTTAAGGCCCTCCCCCCCCCACACCCGCCCTCCTGCTCTTGGGAAGGGTGCATCGGGAGGGCTGGGCCTCAGCCAGGACCTAAAGAGGGCGGGGTCCATGCCCAAAAGCCCAAAGCCCTTCATGAAGGACAGAGCCTTGAATTTCCGAAACCAACATGAACCTCCAAATAGACTTGCATGGCACCTCGGTTGCCGGTGCCGGTTCCCCACCCAGTACAGCGGGTGGCGAGCAGCTGTTGATTCCTGGTACTTGTACTATGCCCAAAGACCCTTCATACCCTAACCCCCCAACGCTACAACCCCTAAGCCTTCAACCCTAAACCCTGAACCCTAAACCCTAATTCCTAAACCCTAAACCCTAAACCCTAATCCCTAAACCCTAAACCCTAAACCCTAAACCCTAAACACACCTTAAGCCCTTGCCTCCAGACCTCCGAGGCTTTCTGCAGGGCTGCTCCGAGTCGGGAGGCGAGTCCGCGCCCGAGAGCATCAAGGGCACCGAGGAGCCCAAGCACAGTTTAGGGTTTAGGGTTTAGGGTTTAGGGTTTAGGGTTTAGGGTTTAGGGTTTAGGGTTTAGGGTTTAGGGTTGGGGGGTTTAGGGTTTCGCGTTTCGGGTTTAGGCTTTAGGGTGCAGGCTTTAGGGTTTAGGGTTCTCGGGATATAGGTTTAGGAGTCAGGGTGTAGGGAGTTGTACTCAACATGTGCCGGCCTCCCGAAAGGGAAAGGCGTTTCGGCCCTCTGTTTCGGGCAGGGTTTGAGGTTTAGGAACTTTCGTGTTTTAGGGTTTAAATTTAGAGAATTGGAGTTTGGGGTTTGGTCTAAGAATCATTCAACGTACCCCAAACCCATACCCCTGAACCTATAGCAGGAGAATCTAAGGAAAGGGATTTTACCATACCGCCCTGGTTTCTTGTGAGGGTATGCACAAGGGGTCTGCTGAATATTCCTTAGATTTAGGGACCTTAGGGTTTAGGGTTTGGGGCTAGGGTTTGGGGCTCAGGTCTTGGGAATTACGGCCCTAACCCTAACCCACTCTTTCTCATGAGCTTGCAGGACCTCATGTCCCAGAAGGCCCATGGCACCTGTGTCGGACCTCCGCAAAACCCGCTCCGCTGGGGCGCGGACTACGAGACGGCCGGGAGCCCTGGAGACCGACTTGTTTAAGGTTTACCTACCGGTCCTTGGTGGGCAGGGGTACTTTTTTTTTTTTTTTTGGGGGGGGGGGGGGATTCTATTCTACTTGGGGTATAGAAGGGGTACCCCCTATTTGGGGAAACGCCCATGTTATTTCTTCAGGGGCATGGAAAAAGGGGGGATAGAAGGAACCTACTTCCGTCCTTTGGTGCGAAGAATGAGGGTCTGGGCTTTAGGGTTTCGGGCTGGGAGCCCTAAGAAGACGCTGAGGCCCCGAAACCCTAACCCTAAACCTTTAGGGTTTAGGGTTTAGGGTTTAGGGTTTAGGGTTTTGGGTTTAGGGGAGAAAGCTCTGAAGCCCTATGCCCCCCAAGGCAGACCGCATCAACTGCTTTAACCGGCACTATGCGGAGTGGTCAGGCCGCGGACGCCATTTTCAGATCCTAAGGCCCCCAATAAAAAACCACCCGGTGGCGCTAGGGCTTAAGGGTTTCGCTTCGGTTCGAAAGCTGGGCTTAAGGCTCCATTCCTCGCACAATCGCTTCTTAAGCCCAGTTGCAACAACCACTCCTCCCAAACCCCCGAAGGCCAAAACTAAAAGCCTCCAAGCGTTTGAAGCCAAAACTCGTAAAGCCCTAAACGCCAAACCCCTTAAACCTAAACTCCAAACCTCTCAACCCCTAAACCCAGCCCAAAACCCCTCAACCCCGAAACCCTAAACCCCTAAAATCCCCTCAACCCCTAAACCCTAAACCCAAAACCCTTCAAACCCCGAAACCCTAAACCCTAAACCCCTAAACAACCCCTCAAACCCCTAAACCCTAGCCCCTGAACCCCTCAACCCATAAGTGCGCGTGTGGGCGCGCGTGCGCCAGGATCCTACCAGAGCACTGGCTTCCCTGACGCCCTGGCCGCAGCGGACGCGGCAGGCCGACGTCCACACATTAGGATTCTTTATGCGGTTTAGGGTTAGGGTTTAGGGTTTAGGTTCTAGGGTTTAGCATTTAGGGGGACTTTTCGTGTTTTCCCGTATTGGGTCGTTTTCGTTTGCGTGGCGCTTAGGGTGTTTCAGGAGCCTTTTTGTGTGCCCTGCACCTTTCCTTGTCCAGCCCCTTCTGCCCTGCAGGCGACATGATCACCTTCTATGACTCGATCACAGGCCGAAGACGTCTGCAAGAATGACCGAACCTGAAGGTTCATTGGTAGGTATAAGTAGGGTGAGAAGTATGGCAACTATGCTTATAACCCTACTTAGCGTACTCTGAACCCTACTTATAAGTACCCATGAACCTGCAAGTAGACCTACAAGTGCACACGCATGCTAGCTTGAGGTGTGGCACCTCCACGTTGAAAGCCGAAGCCCAAGACCCTAAGCACCAAACTTTGCATGGTGGTGCCATCTTATCGTAAGGTCCCGTGATGTCCTGAACTGTTCATGTGCTTCGCATTTTTGAAGTGCAGCGTCGGCTAAGGTTCCCTATGAAAGGATACCTAATGATGCTACATTCTCTCCGGGGGAAGCCTGGGCCCTCACCCCAACCTGCAAACCAAACCCCAAAGCCTAAACCTAAACTGTGGAGGCTTTAGTTTTTAAGGCTCCCCCAACCGCAACCTTTACAAACTGCAGCCCTTTAACCCCGAAACCCTAAACGCTAATCCCAAAGGCCCAAGCCCTAAAACCCTCAGACCACAACCCCGAACCCACAAACCTTAAACCCGAAGCCCCAAACCCCAAACCCTCAGCCCTATACCCCCACATCCCTGAACCCCTAAACCCCTAAACCCCTAAACCCCTAAACCCTTAAACCCCTGAACCCTAAACCCTAAACCCTAAACCCTAAACCCTAAACCCTAAACCCTAAACCCCCGAACTGGGGGAGGCAAGCCCCTCTTCATCGCACCAAAGAGCCGCAGTTGGAACGACTTCGATCGGGACACCGTGGGGGCTCAGGGAATTTTGGGAGGGTTTAGGGTTTAGGGTTTGGGGTTTAGGGTTTAGGGTTTTTGGGGTTTAGGGGGGTTTAGGGGGTTTAGGGTGTTTAGGGTTTAGGGTTTTTGGGGTTTAGGGTTTAGGGCTTTCGGGGTTTAGGGTTTAGGGTTTTTGGGGTTTAGGGTTTTGGGGGTTTTTGGGGTTTAGGGTTTCGGGTTTTCGGGGTTTGGGGTTTCGGGTTTAGGCTTTTTGGGGTTTAGGGTTTTCGGGGTTTGGGGTTTAGGGTTTAGGGTTTTTGGGGTTCAGGCTTTAGGGTCTTTGGGGTTTAGGGTTTTTGGGGCTTCGGGTTTGGGGTTTGGGGTTTTTGGGGGTTTGGAGGTTGGGGCTTCGGGGCTTGGGGTTTCGGATTGAGGGACAGAGAATGTATGGATTTCGATGTTAGCTACAGCTGACAATGGGTTTCAAGCCCTTCCAGGTCTTGTGTTTGTCGAGCTCTTGCCTAAATGGTAGTTTACGACCAAACGGACCCCTAATATAGACCCCCCCAAATAAGGGTTCCCTTAAAAAAGGGCCCCAATAAGGTGCCCGTAAACCCCAGCATCAGTTTGGAGCTCTTTGCGTTCCTGTCGGTAGCAGATAGCTAAAACAGGTTTATCTCTCCATCTATAGGTTTATTTTTTTTGGGCACGTTTCTGGAGGGAGCTCTACTGTAGAGAAAATACAACTAGTCTAGTCCCCTAAGCTTAGGCTTCAGGTTTTGTAGTGGGGCCTCGGTGTTGCCGGGCCCTGACCCTCAGCATCGTCGTCGTCAGCGACAACGAGCGTGAACACCAGCGAGAGATCACTCCGCCGGCCAGGATTTCAGAAGATGCCTGGGGACCAGAGATCTTCATCGGCCACGTGCTCCAAAATCATTCTGAAGCCACCGCGGCTGAAACATCGGAAAGCCACATCCGCCCACGATGAAGCAAGAGCCCACGGCACATGCTGAGCGCAGGACCTAAGCCAGTTAGCACTTGCGCTCTGGGTACCGCGCAACTCCACTCGGTAGGCCCTTGGGATATCTACTCTTCTTCCTTGTTGGGCTTAAAAAGAGAAGATGTTTCAGAGGGTTTTGAGGGCCATCCCAGTCCTAAACCCTAAACCCTAAACCCTAAACCCTAAACCCTAAACCCTAAACCCTAAACCCTAAACCCTAAACCCTAAACCCTAAACCCTAAACCCTGGTCCAGTGACCCCTGAGTTTCCGACCCCTCCTTCAGCGCAAGGAAAGTACTTCGCATGGCTGGCCGTCCTTCCGGGACGAGGACGTCCTCGGAACTTTTCGGGATCCTGCAAGGGGCGATTCTTCAACCAGGCTTCGGGAGGCTTCAAGTCCTAAACCCTGATTCCTGACCCCAACCCTAAACCCTAAACCCTAGACCCTAAACCCTAAACCCAAAACCTGTCCCTTAGTAGTCCCCCAGCCGGCCCCCTTCTGATTCAAGGGGAGCTGTGGCTTATATGGGGGGCTCCCTGAAGAAACCAACCCTCCACACCTGGTTACGGGAGTTCCGTGCTTCGGGTTTCGGGTTTCGGGTTTCGGGTTTCGGGTTTAGGGTTTAGGGTTTAGGGTTTCGGGGTTCAAGGAACCCAAGCAAGCTCCAATTCTTGCCCTTCGGCTTATGACCCCTATATGAATCGAATGGAAGCTACCAGTCCACCCTGTCTAGTCCCAAACCTGAAGGTTCAGGAGCTTTGCTGGGGGCTTGTGCAGGAAGTCGTCCAGGAGAACGTGCGTGTGCTTCCGGATGGCGAAGTCGCCACTCGCCTGCCCTTTAGGAGATGCAGCTCTTGCGCGTGTCACATCCCTGCAGTCACCTGTCTGCTACTGTAAGTCCCTCATATTTTCCCCCTGTATGCATAAGCTCCCACAAAAAACCTGCCCTTTGCAGTTTCTGGACTTGACAGCAAGAACATATGAGGGTTTCCGAAAACAGGGGGTGCCCTTTCTGCGTGTCCCTTTAAGGGGACTCGATTCTATTTGGGGCATACAAGGGGGTACCGCTCTTTGGGAAATACCCATATTCACCGCAGAAGCAAGCCCCGGCCCAGGTGAGCGTGGATGGCACCCACCTAGGCCACAACCTGCCGGACGGCAAGGGGAACCGTGGCCTGACTGCAAGATTACAAGCACTCGGATTTAGGGTTTAGGATTTAGGGTTTAGGGTTTAGGGTCTCGGGCTGTCTGATGAGTAGTCGGTTTCTTTGAAGGGCTTCTAGGTTCTCAGGGCAGAAACGCAGGGGGCTCACTTGGCTGGACAACATGTCTGCTTCGCCCCGAAATCTGCCCAGCCACCCTCAACCCTCAACCCTGACAGCCTTCTGAGCCCTGATGTGCAGAATGCACAGGCTACTGCATCAACCTCGTGTCCGTGGCTGGGATGCCTCCGACGGACCGCTGACGGACGCAAAGCGCGGTGTGGGAGTGTCAGGGCTCTGGGTTCAAATCCCAGAGTTCCACACGCCGCTTCGCATGACCTGCCTTTCGCCCGCCTGTGTCCTGGACCCAAAGACCCAAAGCCAGACCGAAAGCTATAAA